GCCCAGGTCGGTTCCGCGTTAAACATCTTCCCGACCCCGGGGCTCGACGGGCGTGATCCTGTTTTATCCGAAAACACTTTAAGGGTTAGTCGAACGACTTCGAAAGTCGTCCGAGCCCTAGAGCGGTTCCTCTCTTCGAGGTCCGGGGTCGAAAATCACACGAACGTTTTATCGTCTAAATTAAATCGAGTCGTTACGATTATAAGCTAGTGTCCAGAGTAGTCGTGGTGCAATATAGATCAGAGTTAATTTTAAGGTGCGGCCGGGACCCGCGACGGTCCTTCGGCGACGAAGGGCGTCTTTAGATATTCCGTTCGATATAGTGATGTCGTTTGAACGGTAGAAATTAAGAGTTATTATCGAGAGGTGATAGAACGGTCAGAGTTGGCAAAGATAGGTATTTGAATTTTCGACGTACGCCGTGCTGAAAGAGGGCTCCGCGCAGCAGGACTGCCCGGATATTACATTTTTCGGGCTGCGATCCTGGAATAAAACGTTGAAGGGATCGGCCCGCATCGAGCTGAATAATATTTAAGACGGGGGGCATCACGCCCTCGATTGTTTTTGAATGTTTGAAAAAGCGTATTAGCGTACAGCGCTTGGGCCCCCGGACGGTCGGAGCCGCTAGCGGAGCGCCTCTGACGTCGGCAAGGAACGGGCTATGGGCCGCGAGCCAGTAAAGTACAACGCGAGGGCAGCGCGCCTGTACCTCTAGAGTAGTCTAGTTCTAGTCATATCCGGCCCCGCGCCCCCGCGCCCCCCGCGGGACGCGATCACCGTTCGAGGTTCTATTTCGTTTACCTAAATTTTACCCAGCGAGACGTGACTCGAATTACGTAGATTCAAACGTAGCTCTGTTTAGAACATTTTAAGTAAAAAAAATATACACTTTTGCACAGGAAGCGAATTCTTTAATCGCCTATTTAATTAAATAAAACCATAAACTTTCTCGTCTAAAAACTCTGTAATAATCAGAATGCTAAATATTAATAAACGCTTAGGAGAGAGTTTTTCATGTCTAGCTAGTTTCGCTTCAATATATCTTGTTTTGTCCCCAAATTTGACGGAGCTCGCGGTAGCTCCCGGGTCGCGTGTCATGTAACGTGTAGGTAAACGAGGGGCGTACCTCGGGAGGCGGGCCAGGGCCTGGGGCCGGGGCCCGGGGCCCGAGGACCGGGGACCGGGGCCCGAGGCCGGCGCCGCGCCCCCCGCGCGAGGCCGGCCTCGGCACATAGTTACCTATTTACAATGATAAATTTATGTATATTGATTTTATGCATGTAATACTATTAATAATAGTGGTGTTGAACATAATATATAATATTCGGTACGTTTAGTTTGCCGCGATATCTGTGATACGCGTCCTGTCACCGTCACTCCTATTCCATGCACATCATTATTTTTATACGTCGTTCGCGTGCCGCGCTACATACATACATATGTACACACGTGGTATCGTCGATGACCGGAGTCGATTTCGTTGTGAATGTTACCATTGATAAGTTATTATTTGTTTTAGTCGAGTGACACTGTACACTGTACACGGTGTAGTGTAGTGTAGTGTAGTGTAGGTAGGTCGGTCGGTCGGAGGGGGGGTGGCGCCGCCCCGGCCGGTGGATCTGGTCAGCGGAATATTTCGTCATTCCTGATTTCTTCTCTCGGTATAAAGATCTTTATTTTTTATACGTTTATAATGTTGTGTTACGATTTTATTAGAGACGTTTGATAATTATTGATTTGTTGTCGGTCTAAATTTATTATTATTATTATCGTTACGATATAAGTACAATTTAAATGTTAATCGATTGACACATGTCCAGATTATTAGACGAATTATTATATGAATATATGTATATTTTTAATGTTTTAATGCAGATTTCTATTTAATATTCGAGAGGACAATATTATATTGAAATAATCTTATTTACAGTTGCGATATCGTTAATATCGTTATGGAAATGTTTTATTTTTTCGCCATTGTGACGTACGTGTAGTTTCGTTTCTGTTCATCTGTACGGTTAACGGAATAATGAATAATTAAAACTGTGATCGTTTCGTCGACATTGTCAAGGTTCCATAGTGATCGTGGATAGGTTGCCATTAGTGACGTCTCCTCGCCGGGGGTAGGTTAAGTTGTTTACCTCAGCAGTGCCATGATTTCGGGCGGGCCCCACGTTGGGCGCCAACCGTGCTCCACGTTGGGCGCCAACCGCGCTCGAATAAAACTACGCCGGTGATTTCATTCTATGGCGCTGAATCACTTATCGAGTGTTGGAAAGAAGTACAAAGAGAAATTGTATTCATAATAAACTATTACTTGAATCGGCTTAAATGAGTTATTTACTATAGTATGTAAGAAAAGGAATTGAGAGATGACTTCTCATGAGTATATTCAAGATAGAAAATAATGTTTAATTAAAGTTTTAAACTGAAGTTTGTGAGACGCCATAACGTCGGTACTTCCATGAAAAGTGAATAAATAATCTAGTGATAGATAAATATGATATCGTTGTAAGCTCTCCAACTGTCCAACGACATTTCGATAGCTAAGTGGTATTGTTACTGGTCTATACGTGTGTTATGTAGGTAACATTACAGAGTAGTTTCATTAAAGTAGTTAGTTACTATTATATATTCAATCTTGAAAGTGTATAGGTATTGCTGTTCGAACTTTCTGGTGTTTTCGACTTTCTCATCTTATTATAATGTATATTTGGGGGTAGATTCAGATATCGTCTTTTGTCAATTAAAGAGGCTCGGCGCGCTCGTTGTGTCTTCGAGTTCGGTCTTTCGATTCTTTCGCCGATTTATTGCCGTCCAGTAAATGTCCATAATATATCGGACCCATATCGTCGTGTACTCCTTACACGAATTCAAAAAATATCACACCACGTATTTATGTTATACATTATGTTATACTTTTGTTATTTGAAATAATAACCCTTCGAACGTTGAACTTATCCAATCCGAAGAAATCGCGAGCGCGTCTCAAATCTTCAGGGCGTGTTTGGCGGAAATCTCCCAGCACGAAGCCTGGTTTCGTCGATTTTAAAAGCTCAATTTTATCGGAACTAAATCTCGATTAGTCGGTACGTGTAAGGGATTACGTCAATTATAGTAAAGGGAGTTTTTCGTTGGGACTTGCGCTGCGTGGGATAGAGCGCGCGCGGGCCCCGGGGCCTCGTCGTTTCCATCTTCTGCACTTTCCTTCCGTCGAGTTCGCACCTCGTCTGCCGCGACTGTTCCCGCGGTGCCCACAGCGCCGCGAGGAACATTCCGCGGATAGATACATAGTTATCGTTGGATTTATAGTTAGTTATAATTTATCATATTATTAAATCAATTAATTATTAAAACAATATAATGGGTACGTATAGATAATTTTTAAAAATACTGGAAAATGTTAACGTTGTTATAAACTTGAAGTTGTTACAATATTTGAGAGTATATTATCGTGACTACAAAATAATAATTTTTAATGCGGTAACACTATCCGATTAGAGACGATCGTGTGGAAAGTTAATAAAAAAAAAATAGTGCATGTTCGTCCCGACTATTCCCGCACGAGAGCGCATAGGTAAGGCTGCGCCGCGGCCGTCACGAGGAGGGATACCGTTTCTGTGATACTGACGATTGTGTACGCACCCCGCCCCGCGCCCGCCTCGCGCCAGTCGCTATCCCCTCCCCCTCCCGCACACACTCACTCGCTCACTCACTCATACACACGCCCATACACCGTCCCACTCGCACTCGCCCGAGGCGCGCGCCGTATCCCGCTCTCAGGGGCGGTCGCCGATAGACGCTCGTACGTGTTAAGGTTCTGGATGTCGTAGGTTAAGGTAGGTAGGTAGGTAGGCAGGTAGGCGCGGGTGGCACGCGCCCGTGTGCGAGGTCGGGGGCGACTCGTCCTCCTTAATTATTTAATAGCTAAATGTTGTTGAATTTGTTGATAGAGTGGTCCGTTGTGATCACTAGGTAGAGTTAGTGGGTATACGAGCGAGGGCGGGCCAGGGCAAGGCTCGGTCCCGTGTCTAGAGCATGGCTGTGCCGGCAGCGGCCCCGGCGGCGCGCGGACCGCACGCGACCGGTCGTCCGGCGGTCGCGATCTGTATATAATTGCATAACATTGTTTCATTTACGTTTTTCTCCTTGCTCATTGTCATCAATTTATTAAAGACTGAGGAATCAACTTGCGCATATTGACATCGTCACGAACGCGTCCCGATCTGTCGGGATAGTTGTAATATATATATATTTGTTTATCGTCATGTAACGTTTGTAACGTCGGTCGTCACGGTGTGGAGGGAGTCGCGTGCGGTCCCCGGGCGGGCGCCGCGCGGTCGTTGCCGCCTCGACCTTTACACATGTTGACATTGATATGTTATACTAATTCTATTGAATTGTGACTTGTTGCGTATTTTAAGTGTAGGCAGAGCCGCGCGCGCCGGCTCGGTACATGCGTTATCAAGATATATGTTGAAAACATATTGTCGCTCTTCATTCGCTCAGTGACGAGTTTATTTTTTATTTTTATTATTATTTTTGTTATCTCGGTTTACGATAAACGGGTCTGCAATGTTATGTACGAGAAATAATATTAATTAAGTTTGAATTGAAATGTTAAATGTGTTGAATTTGAAATTCGGTATATTTTAGTCAATGTTTATTGTTTAGTTGTCAAGATTGATTTTTAATGAAATGTTATTTTGCAAAGTTGTATAATGATAAGAGGTAAAATGGAAGGTTACAATGTCTTAGTGTTAAAAGCTCGAAAACCAATTAAAAGGTACCTTGAACATTGTCTATATTATATTAACATTAAATAAATGCAAAATTTTCACTTTGTTTTAATTATTGTCATCCCGTTTGCCTTAATAACCGACTGAGGTGAATGAAATAATAAATGATATGATTCTTGTTGGGAAAATGTTCTATGTATTATCGATAATTGCTTAATATATTATATTATTATTATACAAACTACAAGTATAAAAGTCATTATGAGATTCACACGAAAACATGGACGGAATGCGAAATCACAACAAAAAATAATATAAAAAATGAGTGATGTCATGACAATGCATTTTTTACAATTTATGAGTCAGCATTTGGCATGGCATTGAAATATAAAAACTTACATGATACATTATAAATGTATGAAAACAATTCTTTATAAAACTGTCTTTTAACCATGATATTCATCAAATTATTAGTAGTTGATACTGATTTATTTTTATAATTTCGCTACTTTGAAAGCAGCAGTGTTGAACTATATTTATATCAAGAATTTATTTGTCTATTATGTATGTAACTTATCTAATAAAATTAAAGTTTGTTGTCACTGATTTTGTCAGTATTAAATGGTAACAATTGCTTAAGGGTAATTCAAATGGAGTAGATCAAAAGTAGTTAACACAGCTCTATGCATTTATCCTACAGACCTATAGAAAATATCTGTTACTTAATTTAAATTTCACCAATGTGACCACACTTATGTGTTAGCAGCAGTCAATACATAAGATCATCTGATCATCTTTGGATTAATATCATCAATTATTGTTAAAATAAAAGAATATATAATTAGTTGCCTCTAATAACTAAAAATCTATCAGCAAAAATACTACCTACTCTATAGCTATGAGATTATTTCATATTGTGGAATGTGTGGTTCATAATTAAAACCATTGTAATGAGTAAAACTTAAACATCTAGTTCCGGGCCCTTCAGAAAAGGGTAAAAGTTCACTAAGTAATGATGAAAACATGGGCCTTTCATCAGGATCAACTTGCCAACATTGCAGACATATCTGGAACAGCTCATCGGCGACGTACGATGGCTGTGACGGTCTCATGCCGCGAATGACGCGCGCCGCTACGTCCTTATTACCGGAGTGGGAATACGGTGTCGCGCCCAAGGTCATCGCCTCCCACATTAAACAGCCAAATGACCACACATCAGCCTTAGGATTAAATCTATTCTGCCTCAACATTTCATGAGATGTCCATCTTGTATAATCGGGGTTTTCATGCAAAGGTCTCATATGGGACAATCCAAAACCGGACACTTTAGCTAGACCATCATCTCCCATTGTTATATTACGACAGCACAGCCTCTTATGGATGATCTTCTTAGTGTGCAAATACTCCATGCCTCTTGCTATATCGACACAGATCTGTAGCAATTTATTCTCTGTTATGAGGCAAAACTTGTTATTTTGAAGATCTCTGTGTCTGCTTTGTATGAGCATGTCTTTTAATGTTTGCCTTATGTCCTGCAACACAACAAATAATGTTGTGTTTGTCTCGCATATACCTAGTAGAGATATCACATTCTCATGTTCACTTGATTTAATCAGCAAGTCTAACTCTTGCAGCATAAGCTTCTTATCTGGTCTTTCCAGTTCTCTGTCTGCTACAACTTGAACCAGTCCAGGTGTCTGTGCACCATGCTGTTGAACCTTACCCCTGGTGAACTTCCCATAGCTGCCCAAACCGACGACACAGGAGATATCTATATCCAATAAATTTCTAGGAATGTTCCATAATTTCCTTTTTAAGTTTCCATAATAATCTACTCTCTCATCTTCATCTTGAAGGAAACCAGAGTTCTCAATTTCTACACAAGGCTCGCTGAGACTGAGAGGCAGGGACTGAGATCCTCTTTGAAGTCTTGCAAGATGGATCCTCTTCCTAAGTATTATAAGGAATCCGACTCCTATCAGCAGTAAGACGACACCGATTGCAATCCCAGCTCCAAGAGCCACTACCATAGGGGATATATCTTCAGGTTCATTGATATTTAATATTATCTTCTTAGTAGATTCTGCATACCTTATTTTTCTCACATGATTTTTTTCACTAACAACACCTAGGGAAACGTCTATGTCATTGGTTAGTGGTAATGGGGCATTATAAAATCCATTGTAGGTGCTCCTATCTCCAATAATAAAGTCATTAGTAATATCATATGGATCTAATTCTGCTGTGATGTAGTAAGGCAAACCTTGTTCATTGGCATAAGTGTAGTTCCCTAGTGTTTCAGTAATGTATCCTTGCTGATACAGTTCTACTGAAACGACCACTCTGTACATTGACACAGGACCATTCACATTTTTAGCTTTGGGGATATGGATAACCATCCTATCTCCTTTTCTATCTCTAAACTCTATCTCAGGTGGACTGGGATCAGGGGTGCCAATAATTGTAGTCACTGTGGTAGTAATATTGGGACCTTCTTCATCATAGTTTAGAGCGGCAACACTGACAGAGTAAGTAGATCCTGGTTGTAAATTTAGAAGCTCATTAAAAAATGTATTATTGGAAAGTCGCCACTCTAACGGCGGTAGAATAACGTCAGCATAAGTTTCAGTGACAATTGCCTTCATAACATATCCAGTAATGAAAGTATATGCTTGCGGGGCCGTCCACTGAACGCGGGCTGTGGTCTCAGTCGCATTGACGACGTCTACTGACGCCGGTGGTCCCGGAGCAGTCACTTCTGTGTCGTACACGCTTGAAGCATTCACCCCACCACATTTCTGAGATTCGTTTTTCGGGCACGGTGTATCACAATGTTCTAGCGGTAATAGTGTCTGACCGGGCGAATTACCACAGAAACAAGTGGATTCGTTGCCGATTACAGCATACCTATAGTTAACTTGTTCACATGCAGACAGACACACGTCTACGTTCTGTCCGGTATGCGTATTCAACAAATTTTCTATATTCAAAGTGAAGCAGCCAAGGTAATAGCCACGATCACCATCGCAAATGATAATACATAAAGATGTAAGTGCAACGACATACACCCACAGCTTTTCCATTGTTTATTCTGAGTATTGAGTCATAACGTTAGGCTTGCCTACTCAACCAATGTCTTAGTTTTCTTCAGCTTTCCATTTAATTGACTGTAAACGTACAAATTAAATAGTTGAACCAGTTATTAAACTTATACAGTAAAAATAATTGAATAATATTAGCAACCGCCTAACCGCCTAAAACAGTATAATAAAAATAACCAACCGTAACCAACCGCTTGTCAATTTGACATTTTACCATAAAAAAAAAAACTGAAAAAGATCTATCCTTTACAACTGTAAAGTTAACTGGTCTGTGTCTGCACCAAAGGCTGCACAATATTATTGTCATTAAATATATTCTGTGCTACTGTAAAACAAAACCGCTAACTCTTCGATCAACAATAAGGAAGTATTTTAAAAAAATATAAGTTCCCGAAATAAAACTTCGTTTTTTTTAAATACTTACTCATATTATTATGAATACAAGATTTAGTAACTGATCTTAGTTAAAAAAAAATGACTTATTTGCACGTTATTTTGTACGAATACATAGTATATTTGATACATATCGGGTAAGTATATAGATAATAAACGGTTTTTTATTGTTTTTATGACCTTTGTTGCTTACTAATAAACCCTATTCATTCATTCACTACACATAATATAAAAATATGATTGGAATTTGATGTAGTTTTGTTGCTATAAGTTCAACAAAAACTAATAGCAACAAAACTAAGTTACCTAGTTGTAATTGTTTTCAGAACTTTTAAATATTATAATGAAAAATTCCTAGACCTACTATGGCATAAGTATTTTATTTATAACCGTAGCTAAATATCACTTTTAATAATTTCACAGCAATATTTCTATTTTTTATTTCTGCTTTTAAAAAAGCCTTCTCTATGCCCACTTTCGTTATGTTAGTATCCATTTTCCTTTACACAAATAAAAATTAATCGATTTGCGTTTGCGTAACTCGAACTAATTGAACTTCAACTCGATATTAATCCGTTTTATTAGATCCATAACAACACTGACAATTCTATTCTCTTTCGCTTAATGTCATTGATGAGAAAACGAAAGCACTTCCACTAGATGGCGACTCTAGCAAAACTTAATTTTCGCAGGAAACGAATGAACCCAAGACAGTCATTTCCGTTCCTTTTAACTAACATATTGAAAAATTCGAAACTAAGATATAAATACAAGTACGAAAAAGCACAAATAGAAAGTGAGTTGTTTATTAAGTTTTGAAAACTAATTTACTTTTAAATATGAAAGAAAACCGGAAGGGTTGTCATGGAGAAATCAAGTACGTACCGTAGGGACATTTAACATTCATAATGTTTTTTTTAATACTTCCTCATTGACATTTAGATCCTACATTTGTGCTGCCATCTAGTGAAATATTTTTATAGTTTCTTTATGTTCTTTAAATACTCCCTCATTGCTTTAAGACAGGAATTTTTATTGGACTCAAGAATACATGGAATCTAAACATCAGCATTGTAAGAATAATGATTAATGAAATATATGAACTGGATTAAAGAAATATTGACATGTTATTTAAAAATAAATAAATCTAATGAATATATAATAATACTATTTATTGACAATAAAGGTGGAATAATATTTGATTTTGAAACATTGTTGAACATCCCAATGTAGGTACGTCATAGAGGAATAATATAGTTTATTGCGACTTTGTCGAAACGATGTCAACTCTCGATGTCACTCAATTTACTTTTATTATGTCAGAAAGAATTTTGAATGAATATCATAGACAATTATCCGAAATCGCCAGTGACATCTTGTCTGATTTCAAGAACTACTTTTTATTTTTTTAATACTTCCTTATTATTATTTGTACTGCTGTGTTGTTATTTATTGTTTTAAAAATTTATGGTTTCTTTATTTTTTTAAAGAAATCATTGGACGGCTGATTTAAGTAATATAAGATTGGGTACTATGGTCTTTATCCCTTTGCCTATAGTTCAATACAATAACAGAGTCGTTTCTGATATTTATATTTTCAAAATAAACGGTTGTGATTAGTAGTTTTTATTGGCGGAATTGTGTAAATGCAAATAGGCCATGAATTAAAAAAGAAGAAGAAGAAGATTTACTTCAATACCGTAGTTTGTGCTTCAAACAGACTTGGATATATATGAACATATATGACCAATCGAAATTCTGTTTATTAATATAATATATTTCTTATAATAAGATGTCAACTCGATCGGGCAAGCGTAAGTTTACCTAACAGTTTTGAAAGTTCTAAACATTGGCTTATGTTATTTTTATTTATTTCGTTCTTTGATGTTTTCAGGGATCCATAACTCTTTTCAAGAAGATAGTATTAAAGAATTGGATAAACATATTTTAAAAAGCGAAAGGAAGACTAGAAGTAAGCGATTGAAAGAGAACTTTGATGAATCCGATAAAACTGCAGTTCATAAGAAACGGACGAATTATGTCAGTTATCCATCAAATGAAGATACCGTTAAAAACAGTATGCTACCTGTGTTTGATAAAAAATCGAGAGAATTCATACAATCCAGCCCAAAGTTAATTTTGAATGAGCAAAATGTAAACCATGTTACCACAAATGTTGATCATATTCATTCTGGTAAGTCTACTAGACAGACCCGTCGGACAAGAAAAAACATTGAAGAAATAGAAGTTTCTACTAATGGGCCTGTTGGAGATGCGCCTAAAAACAAAAAGAAATTGAAGAAAAATAAAAAACAAAAACAGAAACAGGAATCATGTGTAAATGAATCTGAAGAGATAGTTGTGAAGAAAAAAGGCAAAACAGATATAAATATATTCTTAAATAAAAGTAACGGCTCAGTGGATTCATTTCATAGTGCTGCGGGCAGCCCTGTTCAGGAATGTCAATTTAAATGTAGTGACTCTCTTAAAGAGTCTAAAGTAAAGTCACCTAGAAGAAGTTTGAAACGTAAAAGTGAGTTTAATTTTGAAACCACCGATGATGGACGAAATTTAAAAAAATGTAAACTGGGTTACAGTATTGATGTTGACTTACAGAAAATCCATCATAGTGCCCCATCAGACAGTAGCATTGTTTGTAACATAAAAAATGCCACATTTGATAAATCCTGTGAAGTTCAAGAATTATTGAATGCTACCTTTGATAAGGAATTAAAGAATGAAAGAAAGTCAAACTTAAAAGATACTACATTTGAAAAAACAAGTTCTCCATTGGTAAAATTAAACTCTACATATGAGAAACCTGATTTAAGTAATGAAGTCAATTTAACTTTTGAGAATGACCTAAAAGTGAAGACTTTGAGATCAAGTACTACGTTATATAATACATCACCCGTGCAAAATTTGAACAGCACTTTTGATAAAAGCAAAGACTTTGGAGAACCAAAATTAAATTCTACCTATGACAAAGAGACTAAACTTACCACAACTAATGAAAAATTTAATTCTGAAACCGTGCCCAGAAAAAAGAGTTCCTTGATCAGCTCTGACAGTTCCACCGACTTAACATTTGACAAACCGAATGATTGTTCTCGTGTTAGTATTACAAGTGACGAATCTAATGTTGACAATATTGTTAATGTGACACCAGTATTAATAGAAAGTAGTATGGATGATTCCCAAAGGTTAGATTCTTCCAAAGAATCGAATGCTACATCTCTATACAAACCTAGGTCGTCCATAGGTTATGAAGATTCAAACTTAAATTCTAAATCAACAGCAACACCTTTGAAACGTGAAGGAACTTTCACGAAAGACTGTCCCGAAGTCTCGATGTCTCCGAAACCAAAGCTATCCTCCGAACGCACACCGGCAAAGAGAGCATCACTACAATCGGCCGGCTGCACTCTATTCCATGTCACCAAAACACCTCAAAAAGAGAGAAGTATCTTAAATCTTACTCATTCAGTCGAGAAAAAGACAAGTCGTTCTTCTTTAGCAGAGATCGGGCAACGGACAACTAAAGTTATGTTTTGCAGTCCTGTTAACATTCCTACAGTTGTCGCACAGGAGAAGAGGAAAATAATCAAGTCCAATCTTAAAGGATCCAACAAAAGCTTCATACTCGATGACACCGGTGAGTTTATGTTTCATCATACACATGTATATGTTTTTGTAAATTAAAATATCAATCATTTGAATTGACCTCTCTGTATGCTAAAAAATAAAGAGAGATTTGAATTAATCCTCTCTAATCTCGTTGTCCGTTCATTCAGTATGTGGTCTCTCACATATATATTTCATTATATATTTATTTTTATATATTTCAACCCATCTTATTCACAAGTATACTTTTGAATTTCCATCTCAAAAAAGGACTTTCCAACTTAACATTGATGTTTTCACAATGATTTAATTTTTATGACACATGTACTCGCAGACTTGCACTTGTTCATACTCAATAAAGATATAAGTTAGTATGTCTGTAACGCATGTGGATTGGTATGGTGTAGTGTCGGAGCAGCCGCGCAAGCGTTCGCACACGCACAGCGGGCGCACGCACACACGCAGCCGCACGCACACACGCAGCCGCCTCGCCACACACGTGCAGGCCTCCGTGGACCGCCTGTCGCGCCCGCGCACCTCCAGCGCCCTCGGTGAGCAACTTCTGGTTGTGGCGCCCCCTCCGCCCCCTCCGCCCCGTCCGCCCCTCCGCCCACTTTAGCGCGGTTTAAAATGCTCTCCGACGCTGTCCGGGTGATGGAGATAGTACTATGGTTGTTATTTGTTTACTACTTTGACGATTACGCTGTGACCAAAGAGCTTTGGCCCTCTGTCAACGACTGTTTTTGTTTGGTAAATGGCGCACGCGAGGTGGGGGTTAGTGTCAGGAGGGTGCTGAAGTCAGTTAAAAAATTTCTTAAAATTCATACGCATTATAGGCTACAAAATTATAAATTTAATCATGTTGTTTCTATAGTCATCACTAGATGGCGTCAGTTGTATTTTTAATGTGACAAGCACATTGTACTATGGCAACAGAAAAAAAAATCTCGAATGATTAATAATACATTAAACTATAATATTGAACGATAGTTCCCTTTGGGACTGCCGCCGTGTAGGAATCCCCTAATATTTCGGAGCTTTTCCAATCGATCATGTTCGTGGCGCTCGCAACCATGTCATTCCGTAGATAGTATTTTTTACTATTGTTAGAAGCCCGTCAGCGGGGCGATGCAGCGGCGCCGACCCTCACGGAGACCATAACAAATGAAACTTTCGAAAAGTACATTTTATACTAAAAGTATATCAAGGTTTATGAGGCTAATTAGTAAAGCGATAGAGACATTTCGATGTAATAATCGGGACGACAGCTTCAAATAAACTTTGCATCGTAGTCGCGTTAAAATCTACCTGTCGCCAAAGAATACGACTACTACACGGCTGCCGTTTCATTTTCATCCTTTCATCGCTCCCGTAAAGCTCCAGGGTCTGCAACCCCGGGATATCGCAATCCCGCGATATGAAGATTTTAAAATGCCGGGATTCCGTTTCGAATGAACGTATACGAAATCGGCAATCGAGGTCCTTCAACGTCGAACTCTATCATAGTTCGGTCAGACCACGCCCCGGATCATAATCGAGAACCGTTTTTCAGTCGAGCCCTCGGAGCCGTCGACTCCTTCGAAGAAGGCCATCACACAGAAAAGCTCGACTCCGTCGAGAGGGCAACTGGAGGCGCGAGTGTCCCGCACTAAGCTCCCAAACTTCGCGGCGCTCCACCAGAAGCAGTTCGAGCGCATGGAGTCGCTCGACGCCTGCCTCACGCGCCGCGCCGCGCGCGCCGAACGCCTGCTCGCGCCCCCCGCGCCCCCCGCGACCCCCGCGCCCCCCACGCCCCGCAGACCAGGTTGTTAAATCTTATTCTAATTTATTTACTAATACTTAGTCATTATAATTTATCCAACGTTAACGCTTCCACTCGATCAGTCTATTAGATTCTAAACTACAGTGGGACCCACATATTGATAGATTGTCGAGTAGACTTAGCTCTGCAGCATATGCCGTAATGAAGATACGTAGGTTAACTGACATAGATACTGCCAGATTAGTATACTTCAGTTACTTTCATAGTGTTATGTCGTACGGTATCCTATTGTGGGGAAATGCTGCCGACATACAAACAATTTTTGTGTTTCAGCAAAGAGCAATTCGATCAATTTATAATCTTAGGATTAGGGACTCTTTAAGGGAGAAATTTAAGGAAATAGACATTATGACTGTTGCTTCTCAATACATATACGAGAACTTAATGTACGTTCGTAAAAATATTAATTTGTTTTCTATAAAAAGTGATGTACACATTTTTAATACAAGAAATAAAAATAAATTAGCGGTGCCTGTCACTAGACTGCAAAAAGTTAATAACTCATTCAAGGGTCTTTGTGTGCGCTTCTACAATAAGGTCCCAAGCAAAATACAACAATTAGATATCATGCAGTTTAAATCTACTATTACAAAAATACTAATTAAAATAGCTTATTATAAGGTATCCGATTATATAACAGATAAGAACGCTTGGACTTGAGATGATCCAGCGACTGGATAGGTGATTATTTCTAAACTCATTATCTTGTTTCCATTATTATTAAATGATTATGTTAACATTATAAGACCATAGTTTTTTTTTCTATCTCTGTTTATAATGTATTGATCTGGTAATGACATGGTTTTTGTAAATGTCATTACTCTTATTAGAGCTGGTGAGTTTCTTGCTCGTTGCTTGCTTCTTATCAGCCAAAAGACGTCCTGAACGAGTGGTAGGGAAAAAATGTTGGACGATTCAAAAGTACTTTTAAGAAGTCTATTTGAATAAAGATTATTTTGACTTTGACTTTGATCATTTATCGCTAAATGTGCTATCGATATTTATGGTTTCTATAACTAGATTATTGTCCGAGATTGAATTCGGAGCCATTAAAAACGGTTAAATTTAATGAAAAGAGAGTAATGAACGTCGAGCAAACGGAAGTGACGTGATTCGTGGCACTCCCTTGTCTCTGGCTAGCCCACGAGGGATCCGACGTGAAGACCTCTTTGAGTAAAGTAACAGTGGACGGTGTGGCGTGTGACGTGCGCCGAATGCTGTTATCTAGTGATACAGCGAACGCTATCACTTGCGATATCAGGCGGCCCGGGGAGCCCACTCGTTATATTTTATCAATCATATCTGGCGCGGTGTTAGGGGAACGTGACTTTACCTTTGATAACTTTATAGATGAAAAATTGCCGTCTTATCTGTTTAATGTGTAATATTTTAAGTTTAATTAAAAATGCAAAAACTTAATCCAAATTTTTAAAACCCTTTTACCGGTCTGGTTGAATTTACACAAATTCTTGCTTAATAATCATTGGCCATATTAAACAGGAGTTCTGTGAACATCATCAAACTGCTAATACCTGTAGACACGACTGTTCTGTAATCTGTAAATGGTCACTCAGTGTCCATTTAAATATACCCATAGATATAGATAAAAATATAAATGCAACTCGACTAATCATGACGATGGGAGATGGCACAATAACTGAAATTATTACATTACACTAAAATGGTTTATCACTTAGTAATGGTACATTAGTAAACTCAGATCTTTCCATTGAATTTTAATTCTTATGGAATGGTAAATTAAGTACATAATTGTTTGCCGTGGTGAGTGTAACGTACCAAAGTATGTGTACATGTTTGCTTAAAATCAACTGCGGTCGAAGGTTGATCAGATGACATTAGAATACCTACCTGTGTATTTGCCTATGATAATTTTCAACGCCACATTAAAACCTAATGACAAGGTATTGTGTGCATGAATAAAAATCTATGTTGTTTTGTATGTATATATACACATTTATTGATATTATCAGGTTCAGATAAGAGAATAATATAGACGAGTAGCAAAACCCCATTGTGGGCAATGGCATTTGGGAAGAAAACATAATGCTACATATTTTCTATAAATTATAATTTGGTAATATACTAATACTGCAAAGAAAACGTTTGTTTGTTTACGTTGTAACAATTCCCAAGTTACTGGAATTATTTAAGACTTTTTTTCACTTACGAGAAGCTTCATCGATATAGATGACAGGTTATAATCCACACGATCGCGGGAAAACAGCTAGTTAGGAATATTTCTATTTATTTTAACATTGGTACGATTAATTTTAAATAATATATAGTCAAAAATCAGTAGGTATCCTTTGTTTAAAATTATTATTTTCTTGATTTGAATTGAAGCCACCTGTGTGACGCATGCGTGTAGATAAAATTTATTTACGATACAGCTGTTTCAAATGAGACTACTTATACTATAGACTTATTGTTTAGTATCAGTATTTAAGTTATAACCTAGTTTTGACATGACATCAACAAACGCGACTGGAGTGTTATATTGGAAAGGCAAAACATGTTGAATTATAAATGTGCACAAGTCGGGTGACCCTCCCGTAGCAATGAGAATTTTGTTTCTTTCATTCTTAGTTCGGCGGTTTTGGCAGCCGCGTTGATTGAATTTTAAAACTATTTATTTATTCCTTTAAGTGACCGGATGGGCCACGACCCTCCGCGCTGGACCAATGCGGATTGGAAGGTATTAACGACAGCCGGACCCAACGGCTTTAACGTGCCTTTCGAAGCACGGAGTAGCTCAAGATAATAATTTTTTGGTCACCCATCCCCCGATCGACCCTGGTGAAAGTTGCTTAACAACAACGATTGCGGGTCGCGGTTTTATCCACTATGCACTACGCCACTAAGTTACAATATGGTTATCAATTTATAATTGAAGAAATATTACTGTATACTCAAACGCAATGCTGTTTATCAGAGTGGATATGTATTATTTAAATAATGTTTTCGGCTTTAATTTTTCTTTAATCAATTTGGTAAATTAAATAGGTATATGATTATTAAATAGGTTCATTTTATTAAAGAAACCGATTAGTTGTTAATCGGTGCAATATAGTACCTATGTATACAAATGAGCTACGATGGATGGAACTAAGAATATAGGATCTGCATCGGCGGCCGTCCGCACACAAGCAAACAAAACAATATATACGCTCATTAAACATAGTATTATTTTAATCCATTCCTGCATACAATGATTCAAGTAAACGTCGCGGTTAAATTTAGCGACCGCTTATTTTGCTTTTACAGTCACGTTTGAAGGCTTCCTAATTATTCAGGCCGACGACTGTGTTCACTGGAGTTAGAGGCAAATAATATAAACCCATATTCGTTAATTCCAGGTACACGAATCGCAGAGCCGACAAAAGCGGTGAAAGAATCGAAAAACTCGGATACACCAAAAAAAGCGACGAGGGCGCCCACGACTGCGCCCGCCCCCCCTCCCCCCGCGCGGGAGTTGTCCCGACCCGGCGGTTACACGAGGTTCGGTTTTAAGATGAACACAGACTTCAACCCTTTCAGTATTCCCCCCAAAGATCAACCCCAACCGAAGGCGATTGAACCTAAGAGCCTCGGAAAAAGGCAACCGACAGTGCCTTCGTTGAACGGTTCCACCTCTCAGAGGAAGGAAGTAGCCAAGCAGATAGTGATGAGAGAGAAATCTTTCACCTCGCTCTCTGACAAACGGAACGTGAAGAGGAAAGAGAATCGGTCCATGATAAAGGGCGTTAGAACTAACAGAAGGTTCGAACTTCAAATGAAATTAAGAAATGTGAACGCGTGAGGTGCAAGTACGCGTGTCCGATATTAAAGGTGATGTATTAATTCGTAACGTTGTGGATGCGCCGTTGATTCTCCTCCTCCGGTGTTAATACGTATTTACTAACTTAGTTTGAAGTTTGTCTTGTGTCATTTTTGTATTTGTAAGATTACTATATATATCCAATGGTAATGATGTCATTGTGCATTTCAGTTTTGACGCGCGCCTCGACACGAATTTATCAAAACCTCAAAAAAATTACACGATGTAATGTAAAACTAATTACAGTTGTCTTCATTACATTGTTCATATTTTTCGACTTCATTTGAAGTTAGACATTTGATAGTTTCGTAGTTATTAATAGAGAACTTAATACAATCGTGGTCTATTATTTTTTATTGTTAAACTTTTGTGTTTTTATTGTAATTTGAACCAATAACGTTACTAATATTAGAATAATGATAACTTTTTTAACATCTCTGTTATTGAGAAATATTTAACGGTAGGTTAAGGTTGGGCCATTGCGGTGTTACTAACCAACGAAACTTAGACTTGGCCCCTTCACCCTCGGATATACATATATAGATATACCCTTGGAGGAGTTAGTAACGAATCACGGGCAGTATCATCGTCTGCGTGTACAAAATTATCGTATACTGATTAGTTCCGTTGCTCTGAAGTATTCCGTGTGTGAAGGGCCTTAGAGTTCTTTAAACAACTTAACTGTCATTACTTGAAACAAATCGAAAAATATAACTAAATTTATTTTATTTTTAGTTTTTTACAGAATTGAATATACGAACTAACATGACACCCGAGAGCCTTTTGTTTTTGTCCTTGAACGAAAATTTTGAATCGTTCTTATTATAATTTTGTTAATATATATGATCCGTGAAGATTTTATATGCATCAGAGGCGGTGCCGGGTCCTGATTCCGTCGCATCACAAATTATCGAAAATAAACGAAACTGCGTGTTCGGGCAAATAGAATAGGCCTTCAGGTGCCATGCTGATTCGTACGAGTAGTATATCTTATGCCGACAGAATGTCCACCTTTGACAAATAGTTAAGCGTTGAATTGAATTACGTACTACGTATATATGCATGTGCATATAATAAATTGTCAGTGCAAAGTCCTTTAATTCGTTTTGAAGTGGAGCGGGATATTACAATGCCCGATATTCGCAGATTGCAAGAGGTCGTCAGTCTTGTACAATAATATAATATGCAATCCACAACATGTGAGATAAAACTAAATATTTTTGATCAATCTACTTGCGCGCCGGTCTCGTTGTGCCGCCATTTCTCGGGTCTCGGGTTCGATTCTCGGTGGAGTCAGTGTAGAAAATTAACTTTTCTATCTTATGAGTAATATTTGCCTTCTTTCCTGCCTGCTGTAACCCACGGTTGGATATAGAAAACATTCTAAGTACCTAAGTACTGTTAATTTCTAAGGATTCTTATAAATATCTCGAGTCTGGGTTGAATGTAACGTACAATATCATCCCGCAGGGTACGGCCCACGCAGATCAAACACTAATACGTTTAATAGAGCTTTATATTTATCCGTGTACCATTATTCAAATTAAGAGTATTCCTGACGATCTAGAATAGTGAAGTTCAGCGAGTATATATAGCATTTACGAGTTCAAATAGCGCCTCTGATTTTTTTTTTGTTACGAACCTTTATATTAGGAGAATGGACCGTGACGTTGTCGATTTATGGATGAATATAATTCCCACTAAAAACATGAGTTTGTACCTTTAATCTGGGATATACAGAGCCGCCGTCGGCAGTGCTCGAGCGTACACTCGCGCTGGGCCGTCTTAATTGTCGTTTCTGCCGCGTAACCCACTGTCAGACAAACTGACTTTTGTCGCGTTTAGACGTTCAAGGCCGCGCTTTTATTACGATTTACGAACTATCGATTTTAATAGTCACCACCCTTCATATCGATATAATATTTTAGATTGTGATCACTTGACGTTTCGTAATTTTCAGATTATTATTTTTTTTACTAGTGATAGGTATTAAGGTTATAATATTTTAAATTTTATTGCATCATTTGTCGTTTGTAAACTTTGATGAAAATGTCACACTCATGCCACCATTGTTAATTAAACGAATGGCCCTCGACAATCTGCACAGGTGAACCCGGCACACGGTTACAGATGTGCCGATCGATCGCGATGGAGCAATCAGTTCCAGCCGCAGTTGCAGTGATAGCGTGAGCGAGACGCAACTCGCATCGCTACACTTTATCACTGTATAATTAATTGCTTCAATAGAGAGTTACAAACCACTTATTAAAAAAACTTACAATTGATGTTATCTCACCACGTTCAAACATATTTATAGAATACTTATTCTTTTATGGCGGGTCGAGACGAGAAACAAGTATATATAAGAATTTTAAGAAGAAATGCAGTATACGAAGGCATCAGTTTTTACGCCTTATCGATGACTTTTCCTGCTGAAAGATTAAACCTTGTATCTAAAATGATTTTGTGCGCATGGACCCAAGTTTGGTCAGTCTCTTATAAGAAAGACTACGAGAGTGAGAGTGCTATATCCTCCCTTTCAATTGCTATCTGAGTAAGCAAAAGGAAGTGTTTTTTAGTGAGATGTGTCTGATGCGGCGAACTGTGAAGCGATGTCGCACTCTGAAGGCCGCGTTTCAGTAATCGTTTCATGTTATTTGGGAAACATCGACTGTTAGTTTATTTTTGTAACGTTACTTCAATATAAAAATATTGTGACAAAATGGTTTTTTACAAATAGAGCTTTAATAGGACTAGTATATATATGAAAATGTTTATATACACAGCAATACATGTTATCATTACAGTAGCAAAATTTCTGCAATCGATTACGACTGTATGTCCAATAGTTTAAGGTTTAAAATGGATTCCAGAAATAACAAGTTTGACTCTCGATAACTGATTAACTTGACATAATATCGAATAAATATGAATGTACAGATGTCTCTTATACTATTGGGTAACGTAGTTTCTGTTCAGATTCTTTGTTTACTCGTGTTAAACCTTTGTTTCGGCAAACTATGAATCATTTGCGGAAATTTAGCAATCGCCGATGCACATTTTTATTAGTGTTTGTAATAATTATACCTCGATTCAGGTGAAAATTTAATTTTGAAAAACTTATGTATTTATTTTTATATATTTTTTTAAGCTTGGATTTAGGAGCTTTCATTGTTTTGTCATGAATATACAGAAATTTCATAAATCGAGTGAATTACAGCCATATTTAGCCAGTATTAATTATGAAATTACTATTACAGTACAATTTACGGCAATCGTTAGTAGTGCCATCAGTGTCTAGCCATATAATTAATTATAGCTTGTGTCTTAGTTTAATATATTACATCTGATTGTTCCATTATTTGTGTCTTTATTTACTTTCAATTACCTAGAAGACGGGTGATGCTCGATACCTCTATTTGTAACATTAATTTTGTATGTAATAGTTGCCGAAGTGTTACTAGATCGATGTGATTCAAAGGTTTCTCTGATGGGACGCCAGACATATACCTATTCACTGACACGAATTCGCATTCCGTTCAAACCAGGCATGCTCGTTTATATTGGATATCACCGGTTGGTTCTAGGCGGTAAGGATACATTAGAAAAACAACATTTTGGCTACAATCAGATTTATTTAATGTTTCAACATAGAAGCACAGTATCGCAGGTGATCACACAACGTCGGCGCCCGCCCACTCGCACTCAAAGGCTACCACGCATAATAATCATTCAACAATATACTCAAAAATACTCATACAGTGTTATTTATAAACAGGGTTCAGCGTTGGAGTAAACTTACACTGAGACTGAACTTAGTATTAGTCAAAATTCATATTATTAAACAGAGACTTGGCAAAGGTTAACCTAGTACCAGATTATATATACTTCTCCAAGATAATAGGTTTGTTATTATCTGTATACCTAATATGTATTTGGACTATACTAAAATCGCAATTTTACTATAAATTTACTCTCACGCTAAACCTTGTTTACTAATAGCAGTGTTACATTTTTTTATGTTTATAGTTACGACTAAATAATAACTTGTTACTGTAGTCGAGGGGTCTTAGACGAACTAAAGTGTCCCGGCGGCGGCCGGGGAGTGAGATCACGGTACATACATAGTATCCCCGTGCCGGGACAGCGTTAGAATGTGCGATTATTTTAGCAATGGACAATTTGAAATCTGATTGGTACACATCAGTACACCAATAAAATTATTCGTTGGTATTCATTACTCTCCCGATAGAGGGCGGTGGTTTTATTATTTATGTAATACGTTCGTCGCTGTGACCGACGGATAGATACGACTCGTGCAATAAGACAATTTGAAAGTAGTTATTTTATGAAGAGCATGAAACAAAATAAACTTTATATTATCACCTAATTGTACATGAAATTACACTAAAATTACAAAATTAAAGGTAAAGTGTTTTTTCCCTGTCCAATCAGATTACAAATAGTAATGTCGAGAGCCGCAGTCTCTGGTTTGGATGAAGCGTCGAAGCGCTGCATCAACACGCGTCGCGACTGCGCGCAGCGTTCTACAATCTATGTTTTATATTTTATATAGTTATTATTTAGTCTTATATGTTACAAAATTATTCCTTGTGCACGGAATACATTTATCACTTTACATTATTTGAACGACGTTCATGGAAAATACACTTGTACTGTTCTATTAAAATATCTTTACGATTTATTAATAATATTAGGGAAAATAAATATCTCACTCTTGATGAAATGCTTAGCTATTTCAGTTTAAAATGTTGGATATAAAATATGTATATATTTAATGCTTGTGCTTGTACAGACCCGTGTCAGCATTGGGACGCGAAGATTTTTGAGTGCAGTCGTATGGACGAATAAAAATGAAGTTTCTATACAAACTAAATGACGAATTTAAGAGAAAATGTCTTTGTACAGGCAAGTACACATAAGATGGCCTAAAAAAATTCTATTATCGATTTTTGCTGAGT